TAGTTTTGACTTTGCCTTCTTTCGTTTGGTTGTATGAAATTTTTTAGCTCTATGGTCTATAAATTAATAGAACATTAATAATTATTATTAATTGATGATGATACACTAACCCGTAATGATCTGTTTCTCATTCTGTGATTGTTCCTCTACTTGTGATGTCAGTTTGGCTTTAACTTTGGCTTCAATTTTGTCTTTCTCAGAAACATCAGTTTTCAGATTTTGATTGCCATCTACACAATAAACATATTTATGCTGAGTGTATAGTTAACTAACAAATAATGATCTGTTTCTCCTTGAGATATTGTTCCTTCTCCTCCAAATCAGCAACTTTATCTTCAAGCTTCTCATAATCTTTTGTTATCAATAAAAGTACAAAGATAGAAATAAAATGATATCAACAAATTTGCACTGCATGTACAGTAGCCCATAAATACATGTACTACTGTATACATGTATGCCATATATTTTGCAGGGATTAAATTTCGCGATTTTTGCACTTTGGAAAAATTTATGAAATTAAAATCTGCAAAATAGCATGCTAATTATATAGTAGGTGTGGTAATTACATTAAAATCGCGAAATTTTTATTTGCAAATACAAAAATGTAGCCAAATTGCGAAATTTTATACCTGCAAAATATATGGCGTATACGGTATGATTATTGCTAATGATACCATATATGGTAAGCAGAGTTCACTCTACATGAATCTCATTATTTTAATGCATAAACAGTTTGACCTATATTGAGTACAGGATACTATGGTATAGCGAGAAATTTTGGAGGGAGTTAAATTTGGCAAATTGCTAAAACTTGTGATTGGCGAAGTTTAATTTTGCAAATTTGTGGCCACATGGCATTGAGCATGCTTATAATGGCTGAAAATGGTGGATTTTATTTTGGCAAATGGCTATCAAAACCCCAAACTTGCCAAATTTAATTTCCCAGCTATACAATATTTCCATACTCAACATTGTGTAAACCACTAAAGTCCATTTGCATTCACCTGAGCCCAGGAAGTGATTACAGACCCAACCTAATAATTAACACAATGCAATAATATTGTGAAAAGTCTGGCTGTACTTTCTGCATGGGTTATACAACCAACTTGGAGCTAAAGAGCTACAGTTACTTCTTACATACCACAATAGATGCAGCAAAAGGAGAATAATGCACTGGTATGCTTATTTTCACAATAGAGCTTGTGAGTCAAAAGTTATAGCAAGAAATTGAGGGCTCAGGTGAACACAAATGGACTTTAGTATTATATATA